GGGCCGGGGGAATGAACGCGGAGGGCGAAGCCGCGGGGCTGTGGGCTGCAGGGGCCGGGTGAAAAGAAAAAAAAAAAAAGGAAAAAAAAAAAAATCTAACTTGTGATTTCCTGGTTCTTCTGGGGCTGTAACAGCACGCAGCCTCGCATGGGCTTGAAACGGCTTTTTTCTGTCCGGGGGAATCTCCTAGCTGCTTTGTTTGTTCTGTACGTGAGAAACGTAGAAGACAGCTGCCTCTCCCTGCGTGTTCCCACACTCCGTGCTGGTATGGACGGTGAGCAAAGACGGGGGAGAAGGAGCAGCTCAGCTGCCGTCGCCGCGTTCGCTTGTTCCTTCAGACCTCCCCGTTCCCACCCCTTGCCGTGGAAGGGTTTGAGCTCAGCCGTGCCTTGGAGGATCTGCTGGCTCGCTCCGAAGGCGGCAGGTCGTGCCGCTTAGCTGCTTGGGGTTTGCCAGAGGACGTTGCCAGGCTGTTACCCCCAACCAGGCCTGTCTGGGCTGGCGGATTAGGGAGTCGAAGACTTACCGAGCAGACTGTAGGAGAGGGGGAAGGCACACGGTGCCCCAGGGTCCTGCTCGGGGTGAGGAGGACTCGCCCTGTGCCTTCTCCTCACGTAACCTCCTCTCCTGCTCAGCCTTTGCCCCAAAAGCACGGTCCCCGCTGCACTAAGGAACGAGAGCATCAGTGTCGTGTCCCTTGGATGCCGTTTAAAGGTCGCCTGAAAGATGTGTGGCACGGAGACCGGGGTGGGCGTGCGAAGGCTCTGCCGCGGCCGGGTCGGTCAGCAGAGCCAGGCGGCAGCAGCAATGCCTTGTGTCCTTCAGGTTAACAATCTCTTTCCAGTTCCAGCAGCGCTGCCCTGCCTTCTCAGCAAACCTTCTTGGCTGCTCGTCCTCCTAAGCCTCGTCTTACTCCTCCAGGTCGGCTGGCTTACCTGCTTTCCTGGCATCGCAGGCCGCGAGCTGAGCCGGAGCGGTGATGTCCGGGGCGGCGAGGCTGCCTTGGAACAGGGAAGGAGCCTTCCCGTCGTAAAAGCTTAGAAATATTTGGGAAGTGGTTGAGGTGAGTGCAGAGGGAACCCAGTGCAACGAGAGGAGGAAAGAGGTCAAAAGGAGGGGTGTTTGAAGATGTCTTCTCTGCAGAAATCGGTAGCAATCTTAAGTGGAAAATCTGCGCGGCCCTCTCAGGAGTTGCTGTACTAAATTTGGAAAACGGAATTGGTCTTTCAAGTACGAAACAAAGGGATTTCAGTCTTGCTCTAGACGCAAATCTCAACGCAGCCTGAACTGCGGGCTCGCTACAGACGCCTCCATAGTACATATTAATCCAGCTTTATCTGCCATGAGGAGATTGGTTGATTAGGAGCCTCCAGGTAAAGGCTGCTGCTCTTCCAGCCCGTGGGCTGGAAAAATGAGCTCCGTGCCCTGCCTGGAGCTCTCGGGCTGGGTGTGATTCCACTGCCACCGTCCGCCCGGGATTCAGCTGAGCTCTCTAGGCAAAGTCCATTTATGTAGATTTATGTAGATCTCGTGCTAAGATGGAGAACTCTCAGAGCAAACGTGTGTTCTTGTAGCAGTTACTTAAGTCAATTTGTGGTATTGATGGTAGGAGGTCAACACCGTTTGAAATAGGAGGGCAGGAGCAGCTCACCGAAATGCTGCTAAACCCTAAGCTGTTAGTGTCCTTTGCCTTGTCAAAGTTTGTGTGGAATGGGAGGATTTTTCTAAGAACTGTGAAGTAATGACAATTTTCGAAAATGCTGAATTACGTACCCTTTAAAGGATTTCCTTAAGTGATTTTTCCTCGTTTTTCCTTGTTACTGCTCGTGTCGTTGGGCGTAGACAGGACTTAGTTGTTCTTCTGCAATTAACTGTTCTTTTTGAAAGCTAAACTGTATTTGTAAAATACGCAGCTCCTAAATGTTTCCAGTCTCACCCCGAGTTCCAAAGCATGCGGTTTATTAGCTCTCGAGCTCCCCAGCAGCTCCTTGAAGTGGCTGCTCAGGTCTAAAGGGCACTCGCTGTCCGTTCGGTTTCACAGATACCAGCGTACAAAGGATGATAACGTGTGCGGCCGGTGGTTTGGGGCTTTTGTATTTTTTGGCTTTTTTCCCAGGGCTTTTCTTCCTGAAGAGATGGCCTGTCCGTGTCCTGTTGCTGCCACAGAACGTTTTTGTAAGGTTTCTGTTGGCCTCCGACTTTTGCTTTTCTCTAGTAAAGTTTAATCAAAGTTTTGTAGCAAAAGCCTGATCTTTCAGATGCCTCCTGAGTAGGAGTTGAGTTCCGTTCGTTACATCTGTACATTTATTTGGAGTTGCTGAAGAGAAAAACACTTATTGGGGAGAGAAAAAAAACCCAGTGCAACCCAAACCAATAACCCCACAAACCAAACAATTGGCAAAAGTGCCTTTTGTGATAATAATTTCTGCCTTAGTTTTACTTTTGGCTACCGGTCTCCCAGTGCCCCTGAGCGTACGGATATTCTTGCATCGGAGTTTTGGGGGGAGGGAGGCTGCGCCTTACTAAAACAGTTTCTCCCCAGCGCAGGCAAATCGTTTTCTGTGTGCTGATTTTTAGGTTACTACTTTGTGTTTTTTAAAGTGCAGTGTGATAGTAGAGCCAGAGTGATGTCAGCAGATCAGCTCCATGCTTTAGTTTCCCAACCAGCTATAAATTACATGCTTTAGGCCTTATTGATTGGTGGTTTAGCTTGATCCAGTAATACTGGAAATTATCCGCTTGTAGTTGTGAAAGCCATCGTAGAGTGAAGAGGGGTGTGTGTGAGATCGTAGATTTCTCTGGAGAGTTGATTATTGGCGGGATGACCGTGGATAACGGGTTTTATGAAGTTGAAGCTTGCGCGAATGGTTTTTCCACTGGCAGAAGGGGAGAGTACCGCTGCGGTCTGTCTGCTGGGAGCCCTCGGAGCGCGGCTGCTGTGTGGCCGAGCGGTATTTCGTGTCATCAGTAGCAGTGACGTGCAGGCCCGTTAGCAGGTGAATTCGAAATAACCTGTGTCGACTCTGTGTGCTGGAATCCACCAGTATTTTTGCTTCGTCTGCGGATGTTGCTGCCGCAATTAAGATCAGCGGAGGCGTCAGATCCTTTTTATGTGAAGTGGGTAAAACTGTAGAAGTACTTGGTTTTAAAACACCCTTTTATTGATCCGGCTTCGTTAATCCTCTGGGGTTCCGTGAAGCACTCTGCTTCTTTGCTTCCCTTTCACAGTCCTCCACGCCGCTTTGGGGGGAAACAAGTTGAGAATTCAGGCGAATGGAAGCTGGTGAGCTTGCTTTCCTCAGGGGATCAAGTGTTCGGTAACTCTTCGGCGTGTTTTGTGATCATTTTGATCTGGAGATATAAAAGAGAGTCAAGCAGGAGCAGTGAGCAATATTGAATGACATTCTTGGGAACAAACATGGAGTGGGAATGCTGAAAACAAGCTGGCTCCGTGTTTGAATCATCTTTTTTTGTAGGTGCATCGCAACTGTCTGCTGATTTGTTTTTCCACAGAAGTTTCCATTAATTTAACTGGTCAAAAATTAAGGCTGTCGCCCCTTTTTTTCCTCTCCGTACGTGTGCTTGTGATGAGAGAAGGAAATCCCGTCCTCCGAGCGGACAGCCTCACGGAAGGGTGGGCGGTGGGGGCAGCGCGCATCTGGACGTCGGCCTTCTGACGCTCATCTTCTCTCTCTCCTCCCTGTTTGCAGATCCTGTCATCCGTGATGGCGTCGGCTCTGCCCAGAACCCTGGGGGAACTGCAGCTGTACCGAATACTGCAAAAAGCGAATCTCCTGTTCTACTTCGATGCCTTCATTCAGCAGGGTGGTGACGACGTCCAGCAGCTCTGCGAAGCGGGCGAAGAGGAGTTTTTGGAGATAATGGCTCTGGTAGGCATGGCTAGCAAGCCGCTTCACGTCCGAAGGCTGCAGAAGGCTTTGAGGGACTGGGTGACAAACCCTGGTCTCTTCAACCAGCCTCTCACCTCCTTACCGGTCAGCAGCATCCCGATCTACAAGCTGCCAGAGGGGTCTCCTGCGTGGCTGGGGATATCCTGCAGCAGCTACGAAAGGAACAGCGGCACCCGAGAGCCTCACCTGAAGATCCCGAAATGCGCTGCCACGACGTGCGTGCAGAGCGTGGGCGCGAGCAAGTCCGACGTGGCGGGGGGCGTGTGTTGAAATGCCGGCGGCGAGCCGAGACTCTGGCAGGGACACCACACCACGGAGAGCGAGCACAGCCTTTCCCCGGCTGACCTCGGCTCTCCGGCTTCACCAAAGGAAAACAGCGAGACCCTGGATGCCGCCGCCGCGCTGTCGGTCGCCGAGTGCGTGGAACGAATGGTTCCCTCCCTGCCCAAAAGTGACTCGAACGAAGTCAAGGAGTTACTGAAAACAAATAAGAAACTGGCAAAGATGATTGGTCACATCTTTGAGATGAGTGACGAGGACCCTCACAAAGAGGAGGAGATCAGGAAGTACAGTGCAATATATGGCAGGTTTGACTCGAAAAGAAAGGATGGCAAGCACCTCACCCTCCACGAGGTAAAACACCTTGAGCGGCAGCGGGCTTCCTCCCCCACACCTGCGGCTTTTTTTTTTTCGCGTACGGCCCCGTCCCGCCGGGTGACGGGAGCTGCGTCTCATACGGGAGCCGCGGGCGGTCCTACCCTGGGGTGGAGGTCTTGGCTGCGGCAGAAGAACCCGTTCCCGGGTGGGTGCCTGCACGTGTGCACTGATGCCTTCAACTTGGGCTCCTCAGACCGCTCGGTCCCTGCTGTGGCCTGGCAGACAGAGGGTTTAAGCGGTTCGGCGCTGAAACGGCAAACCGGTAGCGCCGAGCGTGCCCGTGGGATTCTAGGCGTTCAGCGCGGTTTTAAAGCAGTCCTGTCTCGGTGTTCCGCTGCAGCTTGGAGAGTAGACTGGTTGGTTGGAAGATGAATAACTAAAACCGCTGGTGTCTGGGAGTGGGATCACCTGGCTTGGTCGCTACCCTCTGCTGTCCTCCCTTGCCCTGAGACCCTGCTCCGTAGCTTGTGCCCTCGAGGTAAAAAGGATTCCGCCGATGAGGTCCCCGCACCCGATGGGGTGGGGGTTTTTTGTCTTTGAATTGGGGTGGAGCTGAATTATCCAACCTGTCGGGTTTTGGGGACACAGTGCAGGGCAGGCTGTGCCAGGAGGAGGGGAAAGGACCGTCTGCGGTGTTGAAGGGTGACTGTGATGTGAAGGCACAGCATCTGTTCCCCCTTGTCGTCAGGAGTCCGTGCGGGCTTCCTTTGCTCCTCTTCTGGCTCGCTGGAGGCTCAGACTGCTGTGGTGTTGTAACGCAATAGGTGTGTCCGTGTGGGGAATAGTTCCCTAGCGCCGAAGCGCAGTACCAGAGGAGAACAAACATTAATTCGAAGCAGTGCCAAAACGCTGTTGATACGAGTGCTGCATCAGCATTTTCACAGTTAACAGCGATTGCAACATTTCAGTTGGATTTAAAATTTGGCATGTAAGGCTTAGCTCCCAAAAGGAAAGGCAATGTTTATGTTACAGGAGTGCCAAAAAAACTGTACTGGCTTTAGCCTTTTTTTGCTTCGAGAAGAAGTTTTGTAGGTGTGTGATCCATAACGTAAGACTACGTTCTCTCTATGCTGCTGAGTGGAAGGGCAGAAGGAAACAAGGCGTATTTCTTTACGTATTTATGTTTAGAAGGCAGCTGCACATCACCGTCGGTGACTTCACCGGGGCTTTTGCTACAGACCGGGGAGATGCTTCCAAGGGAGCTTGTCGGCAGCCAGCGCGTTTCTGCCACGCAGCTTTAGTTGTGCCGCTTCGCTGAGGTGCTTTGTGGCTTTATGTTGAGCACTTAAATTTATGAATTCACCCAACGTGCAAGGACAGATCCCGTCTTACCCCCCTGGTCTCGCGGAAGGCTGTCCCGTAACGGAACGAGGCGCCTGTGAGATGGGGCAGGGTTTGAGAGCGTGGATGCCCCGTGGACCTCGCTGCAGAGTCAGGATTCGGAGGAAGGGGTTCTCCCCACCCGAGCACAGAGGAGGTCACGGTGTACAGCGTGTGCAGCCATGCGCTTCCCCAGTCTCTCTGTGGGTGCAGAAAATTCTCTGAAACCCGGGCGGGCATCTCGTGGGATAATTTCCCGGCACCGGGCAGCGTGACGGGAGGTGGGCGCCGGGGCCGGCTTTTGTGTCAGGCGTGTGGTAGGCTCAGGAGTGGCTCTGCGGAGCTGGAGGGGTGAGTAGCCAGGTCGTAGTTCGAAGGAGCAGGGTGGCAAAGAGCTGGAAGAAAGGATGGCTGCTCTGCCTTGCTAATTTTTTTTTTTTTTCAGTATTGCACTGGAGATCTTTACTACATCACTGTAAAACCATGTTTAAAAATGGAATGAGAGCATGGTTTGGCTGTAGGAAATACTTCTATCGCTATTATGATTAAGGGCACAAGATCAAAGGAGTAAGTGGTTGACTTATGCCTCACGCATGTGGGGCCTCGCTGAACTTGATGGGAACTGCACACATGCAAGCAAGAAGAATTTCCTCATAATTGGTTTACTGTTTGCTTAAAGAGGCCGGACTTCACAAAGTTTTGTCTTGACCAGTTTTCTCTCTACTTCCATTTTAAAGCAGAAAATATACCAGTTGTAGCAGTGAGACCGTTTTTTTGTTTAGGATCTGCTAAACCTGAGTTTGCCTGTTGCAAACTCAACTTCAGTGGGTTTTTTGTTTTTGCTGGCTTAAACAGTTTGCTGCTCAGAAGGAAGGACCTGAAACGACCAGGGAGGTAAGTTTCTGCTTGTCCAGAGACTCTGTTTCTGCACGTGTTCATGCATTCCAAGGCTGTCATTCTGCCTTGCAGTTCAAGGTTTGTCTGTGCAGCTGGCAACGAGCAGCTGAGTAAACTTCACTATGGATTTAAAAAGCTTAAGTAGGGGTTAGCTTCTCGGCGTAAAGATGAAGGGAGCTCTGGCTCCTCAAGCAGAGTGGGCTTGCGTGCAAGTTAAACTCAAAGCTGACGGAATCATCAGTGGTGAATTTGTGAGAGTATTCTGCCAAGAAAGCCAGTGGGATCCTGGGGTGCATCAAGAAGAGTGTGGCCAGCAGGACGAGGGAGGTTCTCCTTCCCCTCTACACTGCCCTAGTGAGGCCTCATCTAGAGTACTGTGTCCAGTTCTGGGCTCCCCAGTTCAAGAAAGATGAAGAGCTACTGGAGAGAGTCCAG